TGACGGGGGGGGGGGGCGGACTAGAGAGGGCGACGCCCTGTCACCCTAGTATCGATACTATGCTGTACATATTTTTTATTTAACTATTCTACATGATGCACGCAGTTTCGATTCAAAAGTGATGAATCTTTTAAGAGGGAGAGGGAGACTTTTCTCATTAGAAACAAATAATTTGATCAATAAAATGCTTTTTATATTGATTGAACTGATTTTTATTCATTCGTTTTTAAAGAGAAATAATCGACCTAAATAAACCATATCCTATTGATTCTTTGAACACCAATCTTGGAACAAATACGATTCGAAAAACACTTCTTGTGATAAGAAACATTTTTTTTCCTCATGCACTGAATATTCTTTCTTTTTATTTTATTATTCACAAAATTGAGTCGACACCGGTGAGATTCAACTCATTCGCTTTCATGTTTGATCATCATGAAGAATACTGAGCTTTGATAATTGATTCGCTGTATGTTTATCTTTCGAAACCGTCATTTCTATAAAAAGTAGAAACACAGATTAGACTGTTTACATAAAATATAGGAAAAGTCTCAGTTTCTTTTTGCAAAAAAGAAAACTCTACTTGAATATTATTTTATTATCAAAATTCAGTACTTAATTTCGCAAGTAGTGAACAATTAGCAAACCATAATATTCAATATTCATTCATCATTAATTGTATTACATCTCGAAAAACATACCAATATGAACAAATACAACGATAGATATTAAAATCATCAAAAGTGAAAGTAGATCATAAAACCATGTGCCTTTCGGTTTTCAATGCAAATATGAAGGGGAATGGGTCTTCTTTTCATTCATACTGGCACTCACACAGACACATGTAAATTTTTTTAATCTTTCTTTATATTGACACCTTCCCCAGCTGACTATAATTTATAATTTTATGTGAGTGTGAGTATGAGTCGTCTATTCTCTTACACCCACACCCAGCGATGCAGTGTAGTCAGTTTTCAGTGCTCAGTGAATCGGTGACATCAGTTATCAGTAAACTGAAAATGCACATCCGTAGGTTTACCTAAAGCGCCACTTTTACATACCCTCGCACCAACACTCACGCACACCCTAGTTATTACCATAACTTGAAAACTTCAAACATAAGTATGTCATTATGTATAATTATCTTGTTTAAAAACAGAAAGTATATGCAAATGTTTTGAAAAACAAATCATGCAGTTGTAAGTCGAATAAACACATGTAGAAAGAGAGAAGTTTTATTTGCAAGATGAAAATTCATATCGACGATTAGATGTTGCGTCTCTTTCAAGAGTGTTATAATTTCACGAATGCAAATACTCTTCACGATTTGCTGGATCTCGTATTTAAAATAAAAATATATTACATGACAATATTAAGAAAAAAAAAGTACATTAGACCAAACCTATAATGCTTTTGATTGAATTCACTTTGACGATTCAATTGTACTGCGACATAGACGGTGAATAAAATAAAAGTTGGAAAAAAGCACAGAATATTATAATTCTTACAAGTTGAAGATGACTTCATCAGTCGTGGTTGTGTCGATACATATTTTGTTACAGGTGGCTGTGAATTTTGTTCAAATTTCGTAACTTCACCTGAAATAAAACCGGATACAACATTACAAGTTTTTCTTCTGAGACACCTTCTTTGAATTATGAAAAAAAAAATACTTACGCGGAAACATATTCAGCTGTGGGACACCATTTAATCCTATATTTTGGCTACGAGTAGAACTCAGTGAAACTAAGAAAACTCTGAAATAGTTCGTATTCATCATCACTCAGTCAGAGTTATGAACGGTTGTAGTAGATTTTTTTTATCTCTAGAACAGCTATTCAAGTAAACCGCAGTGATAAGATTTTCATCTGAAATGTTGCCTTTAAAGACAGATGCCGTGACCACTCGAATATATTAATAATTTCAGCTCAAACAAATGTATCTTTTTTTAAGATATAGAGTATCCAGCAATTGCTTATTACATATATATCACAAGCCAACTTATAGAATTCGAGTTGTCTTAGATGCACGATATCTCAAAAAAAAATACGTCCTTTTTAGCTGAAATTTTTAGAATATTCGAGTGGTTATGACACCTACCTACATGGGCAAAACTTTAGATAAAAATCTTGTAATTGAGTTTTCTATGTGCATTTGACTCCGAGGTAGAAAACCTACTAAATCGGTCGTAACTCTGGCTGGCTCACGTATTGACTCGAATTCATTTAGACCTTGCTTAGTTTCACTGAATCTTACTTAAATCAAAATATGAGATCGAACAACATCCAACAGTTGGATACGTTTCCTTATTGAACAAATCTTGTGTTTCATTTGTTCGTGGTAGTCCTGTTGACATTATTCTATTCATTTCTTCTTTTAAATCATCAGTTATTGTAAGACCACTTATATTTCGTGATGATGAATATTTTTTTTCCAATTTTCCTCCACTAAAGTCGCGCACTGAATATGATTTAGAATCCAATAACAAAGATGAACGTTGACTCGGAAGGTTGCTACAAATACAAATTTCGTTGATGAACTGAATAAGCAATTGAAAATGAAACTTTACCTATGAAACGATGACCCATAAGAACGGTAGGATTCTATATCTCTCTTGATAACGTTTGTATTGTTTGGATGTGAATATTTCTCCCGATATTCTGGATTTTGCCTTTAAAATAAAGTAAATTTGGGAATGGATTGAGTTATACTAAAATGTCGGATTAAACTTATGATATTCTTTTTCATACATGCATGGCCGTTGTGATTGTACTGCAAAATAGATGATATACATAAAATAAAAGTTAATAAAAAACAAAATATTTATTTCTTACAGTTTGAAGGTGGTTTCATCATATTTGGTAATATGGGTGAACATGGTCTAAGAGGTGCCTGATAAGGTTGTCCTAGTTTGACGTCTTGTGCTGAAATGAATCTCAAATATTTATCGAGAAAATAATTGTTGTTAAGAAGCTTAAGGACTTCAAGAATTCTCTATGAAATATTTTATTATTTCTTTTTTAAAAATCTTCTAGCTTGATTTCAATGGTAGCAAATACATTTAGACTGACCTTCACTTGCGCCTTTACGAGATAATCTAGTAGACATCTTTCTATTTATTTCTTGTCTGAGAATATCGGATATCTTCAATCGACACACATCATCTACTGGATAATATTTCTTTTCAAGTGTTTCAACAATAACACCGAATAAAGGATGTTGTTTCAACTTTATAAGAGTTTCTTCAGCACTTGAACGTTGTTCAGGATTTTTTTTGAGAAGTAATTCAATAATCGGTTTGCAACCACCTTCTTGTGGAACTATTATATCTCGAGCCGATGGATTATTAATAAAATTATCATAGTCATCCTCATCTTCCCAAGGAAATTCATCATACATCAAATAATAGAACATAATACCGGCTGCTCAAGCATCCGATTTCTTATGAAGATGCCGAGTTTTAAGTTTTGTATTTGGATTGCGTTGAAGAAATTCAGGTGAAGCAAAATATTTTGTATAAGCTTTATTACGAGTGACAGTTATCTGAGAATGTGTAGTGTTTAATTTTTCAATAGTTCCAAAATCAATCAACTTGATACAAAATTAATCGAGCATCTGAACAACAACAAGATTTTGTGGTTTAATGTCTCCATATATAATATTTAACTTTTCCAGAAAAATTAATGTTCGTAACGCATACATAATGATCATAGTACTAAAGTATAATTTCTTTTCAAAATCTCCTTTTGCTGCCATATCAAGCCAAAGTTTATAAAGATCACAATGTGCTAATTCTAAGGCTATATAAATACCATCATTGCTCATCTTACAACCATAATATTCAAAAACAGGGTGGTTATCTAATTTAATTTTTTGTACTAATTTTAGAAATTGAATTTCATTGTTACTCTGACTTTGAATAACCGTTGAATTTGCCAATACTTTA